CCCCCCCCCGCCTCTCGGTGGCGGCCACCCAGGAGCGTGAGTTCCCCCTCACCTTCTCCCTCCCATGGTTCCAGGCCACCGCGCCAAGGAGATGCGTTTCCTCCGGCGTCTTTCCCTCTCTCCGGAGGGGGCAAGGCGGGGATGCGCTCGGCGGACCGGCCCCAAGGGGCTGGGGAGGCTGTTGGTGGTGTGATGTGTCGTGTGATTAGGCGCAAGTCCGGTGAGCCTCTCGCCGCAGGCTCTCCGGCCGGCGGCCTGGGGGACCCCACGGGCGGGCATGCGCCCCTTGCGAGACATCATACACCTACGGCGGCCACGAGAAGGCAGCAGGATGGATGCGCGGCCGCGCAGCGGAACGCGGACCAAGGCCGTGCGGCTACCAAAGCCACACAGGGTTGCTACTGAGCGTTGGCCGGCAGGGCGTCCGGCGTTCGCGGTCGGGAGACACGTATCACCTTCCCGCGCGTGAGCCTCCGCCGAGGCGGGCCCCGACCGCTGGAGGACCCGGAGACTCCGGTTCGAGTGTAGGACCCCGGGGCCTGGGGCTGTGGTTTTTTTCTGCCCGCCCTCTGCCTGCTCCCTCCTTCTCCTCCTCTGGATGTGCGGTGTGTATTGGGCTTTTTATAATGCCCGGAGCATTTGCGACAACAGCTCCCGCACAAGCAGCCAAGCTTCTTTCGGTCGGGCTTGAGCAGACGCAGGGGGGCCTTTGGCTGGCAACCACCACAGGGCATCCCTCGGGTTATCCTCGCCCCAGCCTGTGGGGGGGGAGAGTGCGTGAGCCTCGAGCGCCGATGTCGAGCGGGGGGTTGGGGTGGCTCGGCAGTAAGCATGGCGGGCGCCTCCTAAACCGGTTGGTGCGTGGCCCCTCCACATGCTTTTACGCTGGCCCACGAAGGGGAGAGCGCGGGGGCGCGGGGGCTGACCCGCTGAAGATCGGCAACCGGGCCAGCCGCTCCAGGGAAAGGGGCCAGCGCTTGGGGGGGGGGGGGGGGAATAAACATACGCCACCCCGCGCCAGCGCGCACGCGCGCGCGTTCCAACCCACGAGTGGCGGGGCCTCATGTCGCTCTCCTCCAAGGGGGGAGGTAACGAGGGCGTACAGGGGCCTTCGGGTCTGCCCCCCCCCCCTCCTCGGCGTTGGTTTCCTCCCGTCCGGCCACAACGGGTGTTATTCCCCGCCCTGCGGCCTCCGTCGGGGACCCTGACCGGGGGTGGTCTCAGGGGCGCCGGTGCCGGGAGGCGGGGGGGGCAGGGGCGGGGGAGGAGCCCCCAGCCCTCCCGGGCCCGAGCGAGGAGCGATCTGCAATCAGTCCCTCCCTCCCCCGGCCCCGCTCGTGGCCGGGATTCAGCTGGTCTATTTGCCTTGGCCAGGCCGGTGCAGCGCTTCTGGGGGCAGACACGCTGCGCACTCGCCGGTCTCCCCTCTCGGGCCCCATATTTTGAATTCGAACTGTTTGCCGGCCGTCTGCCCCCCCTCCCCCCCTCCGCCGGCGGCCGGCTTCAGGCGTTTCCACTCCTGGCCCCCTCCTCCCTTCCGCGATTTTCATGCGTGCCCACTTCCTGCCCACCACGAGCCGGCGCCCTAGGTGTTTGCGTGCGCGCGCGCGCGCGCGCACTCACTCGCTCGCTCGTCTACGTGCTCACGAGCGCGTATGGCCCTCGCGCCTGATTCGAGACCTCCCCCGGCCCCCCAGACACGGGGTACCCAGCCCCCCCCCTCCCCCCGGACACCGGGCCCGGCGCGCGGGGCTCTAGCTGCGGGCTTGGGGGGGGGGACGGGGCGGGGGGACAGGGAAAGTGGGTCGGCCTCCACCCCCTCAACCGTCGGCCCCCTCCCCCCAAAGTCCCGCGTATGGCCCCCGAAACAAAGGGCCTCGGTTGGCTTCTTGGTGCGTGGGCCCGCTCGCGGGCTCCGGCTCCCGCCGCCCGACGCAGACTTTCAGACTGTTATGATTTTGTGCCGATTTCGTTTCCTCCTCCGCCCACCGGCTCTCGATGGAAAGGGCGCAGACGCCCAGCCGACCAAGACCCCATTCGCCAGCGCGGAGGGGGGGGGGGGG